TTTTTAATTCAGTCGCATATATTGGGGATGAAGACATAATGTTACATTTATGGTCCCTGCAACTTTAGCGAATTGACACTTGTGGTCCCTATTGTTTTCACAGCTTGGCAGTTTTGGACCATTTCCAGAAATTGTTACAAATGAAAGAGAATGTGATGCAGATTTATTATTTTAATCTCTATCTTTCAGCAGTGTGACAGTTTCAGCCCATCTTACGAAAAGTTTGCAAATTTAAGGGCTGGTGAACAATTTTGAATTTTTTTAAACGCACATATTTTTCCGTGAACAGAAAATTAAAGATTCCATCAAGTCTTGGCGGTTCGGAAAGTCGTTTTTCGTGATCACGTCAAATTTTCACGACTTTTTCGGATTTTATACTTCATCGTTTATATCATTTTGTCGCGGGGGGAGCATAGTAATTTTTTATCCATTCAAGATCATTCTCATGACCATATGAAGGCTTTATAATCATGTTTTTGATTATAAATCGGGGGAGAATTTGGTATGGTCATTCGAAATTGGATTTGTGACTTTTCAAATTTGAACATTTTTGATAAAGCTTGTGGTAGAATTATGAAGGTAGCTTTTACAGTAGCAGTTCTTCATCGAACTCTTCTAAAGCTTTTACAGAGAAGTATCCTTTACAGTAGCAGTTCTTCATCGAGCTCTTCTACGGACTTGTTATATCTCTGACTTCTAGTATTTTCTCGATCAAGTGGCGTTACGAATCTTAAAATTTGGGTTGTTACATGATAATTTTTGGTGGCTTATATCATTATCTTATTTGAAGATCATTGTGACTTGGAAGGGGAGCTCTTCAAAGACAAGAAGTGATTTGGTTTCTTTGTTCTGAAATGGGTTTTTATGGCGGGTTTGGCTTTATTGAAGATCTTTGGGATTACATTCGAAAATGAAGTTTAAAGACATTACTTCAGTGCTTGGTTTATATATCCTAGAGCCCGTTTTTGAAGACTATTGAAGAATCAAGATTTGTGGATTGCTTCAAATATTCCACGTTGCGAGATCTTTTCTTATTTTCTAGATGCTTGTTTAGGAAGTTGAAGCATTGTCATCCATTCCATACTTTTAGGGGGAGATTGTAGGGTTTCAAAGTACTCCATGGATGATGGAAATGGGCCCCCTTGATGAAGTGTAGGTTAAAAGCCCAAGACTTATCTTTTCCCTATCAATAGTCATGTATTATTCATAATTAGGGTTAAGAGTGGGATAAAATGTAGCCGCGACGTTGTGAGGTTTCTTGTAGAGTTAGATTCTTATTCTTAAAATATAATCTGTTCCTCATAATTCAATAAATCGAGTGATCATTTGACATAATCTTCATATTTGTGTTTGTTCTTATTTTCCGCATCTTGTTAATCAAATCTCAATTAGGGTTTTATTCCCAACATTTCAAATTCAGAACTATCTAGTTTCATAATTATGTACATTTGTTAGTACATGAAAGTGTTCTATAGATAATCCAAGATGTGAAGAGATTCCGAGATGACATAGCGATTCCAAGATGGTCTCTCATTCCGAGATGAAGCATTCACGAGTGAAGACTCCGACATGGAAAAGGGATTTCGAAATCACTTCTCAACCGAGATAAAGATGATGTTCCGAGACAGTTTGTTATCCGAGATGTGAAGACTCTGAGATCATTCCTCATTTCGAGATGGAATGTTGTTTCAAAGGTGAAGTGATATTTAGAGACCAAGACTCCGAGATGACGAGTTCCGAGATGCCTTGGATTCGACACTTTGTCAACTTTCCCTGACAAGAAGAAATTTCTTTTTGTTGTATTCCATTTTAGTATAATGTAGATTCAGAGAAAATCCACTTTATCAAGATTTTTTTCTTGATGCAAGTTCGCTCTATTCTATGTATTTGTCGTGTATTGATTCCTTTTCCTATGAAAGGAGTGTCAACCTTGTACTGAAAACATATCTTTCAGACCTCTTTTGTGCATCAATAGAATCCTTCAATTCACTCTCAAATTTCTATCGATCATCTCTATTAAATTCTTCTTGTTCTTGATTTCTTTACTTTATTTAATCTTCTAGAATACTTTGTTGAAGTTATTTATTTCAAGTCTTGACTGGATCTTAATTACTAGTAATCTATGATATTAAAGATTACTTCAAGATTTGTGTTTGAAAACCTTGTCCGCGCATTTAATATAGTTTAAGCTCTCTCAATTGGTATCAGATCCTAAGTGGTTGTCCTTTGAATCCATAAGACCATATTATAGTTGGTTTAAGATTACCTTGGTATCTTAATCAATTATGTGTTCAGGATAAAAGTTCTTCTATATACCACTTTCATATTTAATATCTTAATATCAGTGGCTGCTTCGAATCCTTCTCAACAAATGTATTTAATGCAAATCACAAATAGCATAGGTTTCCCTTCACGTGCCTGATTGATAGTTGTTGAGGAGTATGATCATTGGAAAGTTAGAATGAAGAGATTTTTGGTTGGAAAAGATAATTGTGAAGAGATATGGAGGTCAGTAAAAGAAGGTCCTCATGTTCCTGTAAGACAAGTTGTTAGAGATGTTGTGTCCGTTATCATGGGTCAAGAAGAAACACGACAATCACCTCTCACTATGAATGACATTGACAAGCTCAAAGCAGATTAGATCGCTTTCTCTGAAATGGTGTTTGGTGTTCCACCATCTCTCTTTGAGCACATTAAGTTGTGCAAGTCTTTTAAAGAGATATGGGACACACTTCAAGACTTGTTTGAAGGTTTAGAGAATATGAAGGAAAAGAGATTGACATCCATGGTGAACGATTTCGAAACTTTCATAATTACTCCTGGTGAATCAGTCGCATCTGCAGGTGGGAACTGGGATGACACCGACAGTGGTGTTGTCATCTTCAAACATAATCTCTTAAGAGAGATCTTCTTCAACATTAGGTGAGGAAACATCTTCTGAACTTACAAACTTTGGAGGAGAATCATCCGAGACAATTGGTTGAATCAGGAACATCTCCTTTAACAACAACATCATCATCACCTTGAGGAGTAGAAACAACATAATTCTTAAAATCCTTCATAGCATCGACGGATGGTTGAAGCTCCTGATTGATATCATTGGAAGGATACACGAATGGAATGCGACTGCTAATTGTTCGTTGGCACATTGAAATGAGAGTGAATTCAACCTGTTCATGAGATAACACTGGATGCAATAAGTGAGCCCTGTTAACAAAATCAGCCCAATCTTTGTTAATTATACATGATCGTCCTCTACCTGAACCAGGTATCAGACCAGATGCAACTTTCGAGATATAAGGGATTGGTTTTGTCTCAGAAAGCTTAGAATCAGTGGTAGGGCCTCTGATTGTGCTTGTGAAGCAACGAGAGGGATAATCAAATTGACTCGTGAGTATGTCCTAGGAGGCTCCAAGGGACTTTGTTCAATACCAACACCACCTTGTTAGGAAGGTGCGGTAGTTTATATGTAGACTCCTCGTGTGTATGTGTGTAGATTCTGATATTGAAACTCCGAATTACTGAGTTGGACCCCCCACCAAGCAAAATATCAATGTTGCACTTCTTGCAAATATGTTTTCTAATGGTATTAGTAACAACGTCCTCTGTAAGGGGAGTCCATCCAGGTTATTCGCCGCTTGGTGGATACGAGGTCGCTTCCAATCAACGCCTTCTTCTCTGCTTCATCCCCTAAGGACTGAACCAGAGGATCGTTACAAGAAACACCACGAACGGGTGCACCCACCAAACCTGGGTCAACCTCATTGGCAAAACCCTCGCCCATGACAGTATAAGAAATGGCAAGCGCCAGCGCCCGATCGAAGCTAATGGGTGGATGAAGGATCTCTATCAAGAGCACCTCACGGTACTGAAGATTGCCCTTATAGTTTCCCCGCAAAACCATCTCAAGGGACAATACCCTTTCGATACCCACGAATACAAACAACAAATGATTCAGCAACCCCTTCCGTTTTCTAAAAGTAAAAAAAGGGGGGGGGAGGAGAAGAGCAGTTAACCTCCTTCTCCGCGTAGAAATGAGGCATCATCCCCCGGGGCCGCCAGGCGGCGCTCATTCTGGCTGCTGCAAGGATACAATCCTCCCAATCCTCACCGACGATGCAGATATTCTTTAACGCATATGCCACGATCAGACGGGCACCCCACAATTATGGCGCCCAGGCAGAGAAGGTGGTTACCTGGGGATAACTAAAACTAACCAGGTTGCTATTGACCCACAACTATTTGTCTTGTAATTTCTTCTTAGGCACCTTCTGGTTGATGATGAACGCATGGACGCCTCACTTATGAGAGAAGGCGTGAACACCAGATTGTGTGGATAAGTTGAAGTAAGCCTTGAACACCCAAAATAGGAAGAACACTAAGGGCTCGGCAAGCCAGTTCAAACCACACAAACTTATTCACAACGTCCGGGTTCAGATCGTCCACTGAGAAACCAAATTCACGCATGATCTCATTGAGGAAATTAGTCATCGTTAACCGTAGTTCCGCTTCAAATATTGGGACTGGAACTCCGACTTTACCCAGCGGAGGCTGACTGATGATGGCTCCCTTCCTCGGAAAATGTACCTCATGATCTATCATTGTAACACCCCGTTTATTAAATAAATAAATAAATAAATTAATGATTGTATAGTAGCCTTAAAATAAATAGTTATATAGCAAGGTGTCATTTCGGGGAGTTAACTGGCATAATTTAGAAGTCGGGGGTTAAAAGTGTAAGTTCCGGATTGGTTTTGTAAGTATTTATGAAGGCAGGGACTAAATGGTAACTTCTGGGAATTTATTTGAAGAAATTTTGGAGGCAAAGGGGCTGTTTGGTAAATATTGTACCTAGATTGCAATGGATTTTTAATGTTGGGGTTTAAAGGGTAAATATGGGATTTATTTTGAAAAGATATTTCTGGAGAGGGACCATTTCTGCCAATATGGCATTGACTTTTGTAGGGCATCAGGTATATAGATCTTAAGGAACCCTAACCCTAGATGAAGAGGAGTAGCCGCCAACGCCGGAGGTCCAACAGCCTCCACTCTTGTGTCTCCCCCGACCGCCACCCTCTTGTTCCTCCGACCACCTTAACCACCGCCATGTTAAGCGTCGCAACCAATGTTGTTCCGAGGTTGTTGAATAAGAATGTCGACGTGGGAGGACGACGTTCAACAGAGATGGAGGGAGGGTAGTCGATGCCATCGCCGCCGCCATCCTCGGCCGACGACGCCACTGCTGCTGATGTCCCTTCGACGACAACAGACGAGACCGATGCCATGGTTGTTGTTGCTGTTGCTATTCTAAATAACATTTTCCTCCTGTTTCTTCTCCGCAACCAGTAACCGGCATCCGCCGCCTGCCGCCTCATGGGTTGATGAGCTCGTGGTATTCCTGTTACAACCGGAGAACGATGGCAAATTTCAGGGCTTGTGATTGCGATATGGATGCGTTATGTGGGAGTTATGTCGAGTTAGGGTTGTGAAGAACCACCATGGCGGTCGACCGTTGTGGCTGCCACCGTCAGTACCGCTTCTGTTGCCGTCGTGCGCTACCAGGTGGGTGGCTGGGGTCGTTTTGGGAACATATAGCGGGTGTGTGTGTGGGTATTTTTGTTAGTGCGTGTTTTGTCTAAACCGGAAAGCCAAAAAAAGGCACAGCTACCACGTGCCATCACCGGCCACCACTAGGGTGGATGTGTGTGTGTGTGTTGTATTAGTGTGTGTGTGAGTTAATTGGGTCTTTGATTTGTAATTGTAATTAGCAAAAAGAATAATGAAAAGAAACTCAAAACTACCATCATGAGGTGGTGGCTACTGCCTCCCGCCGCCACCAGCCGCCATGCTGGGTGGCGGTGTGCGTAGTTGTGCTTGGATTGCTTTTGGAGTGCTTGGACATGATTTGACTAGGACCATAACCACCACCGTAAGGTGGTGGCCGCCATCATGAGCCGCCATGAGACGCCGTTGACCACCACTACCCGAGGTGGTAGTGGGTGGTGCCCGACTAGTGAAACCCTAATGGGCCTAGTGAAACCCTAATGGGTCTAGTGAAACCCTAATGGGTCTAATGAACCCCTAATGGATCTAACGACTTAGCTATTGGGCCTATTGGGTTGGGAGTGGGTTGGAAACCCTAATTAGGGTTAAGAAAACCCTAATTTTGGATATATGGGCCTTGGACGTATCGAGACCCATATTTGGGCCATTGGAATAGAATTGTGAGTTACACCCAATCACACCATATGACTTATCTAGAAGAGTGATGGACTTAATGGATTAAGTCCTTAATGGGTTAAGAGAGAAACACTTAACCCTAATTGTCATTTTATGTGAATCCCTAATTTCGCTTGGGCTATTAATGAGCCATTCAAGAACAACTTTATGGACTAAGGATATATGAACGGGCTTTGGGGTAAGGCCCATATGAGGGGTTGGGCCCAATTTGGAAAATTGAGCCATAGATGGGCCATAGTTTGGGCCTTAATGATTGTATAATATTGGGCCATTAGAATGTCGAATGTTTGGACTGGACTAAATGGTTGGGCCTTATGGTAAGACCTTGTAAAGGTTTGGGCCCAATTTGAAAAATTGGGCCATGTGTTGGGCTTTGACTCATAGTTGACTTTTGGGCCTTTAGATTGGGCCTTGGGCTTGAATCAAGCCAAGATAAGGGTAAAGCAGTCTTTTACCCCAAGCATGGACTTATGGATATATGTTGGAACCCAATTACTGATTGGGTGTTTTTGATGATTGACAGTTCGAGAACGTGTCATCCAGCAGCTAGAGTTTTGTCTACGGAACTTCAGCAGTGTGAGGTGAGTTACCTTCCAGTAGAAGTGGGTCTACGGCCACAATGCCGGCCCACCAGTTGGAGTTGTTTGTTAGATGATTGTCTTTATGATAATTATCTGGTATGCCATTATCTGTTATGTTTGTGTGCTAGGATGCTCTGTGATATATATTAGTAGTAGTAGGGGTGAAATAGTCCCCGGATACCGGTTGAAAGATACCGAAGGGGTCGTCGGAACCCATGCATGCCTAGCAGTACGTTATGTTACGTTATTATGTGGTAGTGGTAGGGATGAAATAGTCCCCAGTTACCGGTTGAAAGATACCGATGGGGAGGTTAGCTCCCGGTTACCGGTTGAAAGATACCGAAGGGGAGGTTAACTCCTGGTTACCGGTTGAAAGATACCGAAGGGGGAGGCCAGCTCCCGTATACCGGTTGAAAGATACCGAAGGGGTAGGTCGGGAACCCAGATATGCCTGACAGTATACTTAGGTATGTTATGTTATGTTACTATGTGGTAGTGATCGGGGGTGAAATAGTCCCCGGATACCGGTTGAAAGATACCGAAGGGGTAGGCCAGCACCCAGATATGCTTGGCAGTATGGTATGTGGTATGATGGGGGAAATCACTAAGCTTTGTGCTTACGGTTTTCAGTTTTTGTTTCAGGTACTACATTTTCAAAGGAAAGGAGTCAGATCGATCACAGCGCACACTATGTTTTCTGCACATGAAATCTTTGGGATTACACTCTGATATGGTTTTATGATAATATGTTTTGATTATTGACACTTTGGTTTTGACATGAGATATTATTATGAATGTTTTTATATTGTTGGTTTTATATAATAACTTAATTAAAATGAAATTTTTGGTCTTGAATTTTGGGATGTTACAAGTTGGTATCAGAGCCTTGGTTTGAAGGATTCGGGCACACTCTCGGGTGTGTCTGAACTCAAACTAAGGACTTGGTATGAAAAATTTTCAAAAGTAAAATCATTTTATAAAAAGAATTTGAAAGAGAAAAAGGAACTTTGAAAAAGAACAAGATGTGTGATGCGTGCAATCAGCCGAGCTCAAGTAAGTTTTCCCCAAGATACCCATACATGTTATGACATGTTATGTTATGATATGATTATGAGAACTGCGTGCTAGATTAGGGCTGAGGATCTAGGAGGATGCCTTATATGCCTATAGTATGTGCTTGTATAGTTGCATGCTAGTACTGATCAGTCGGTGATAGGATAGTCTGTTTAGGTTATGCCTGATTGTATGAGCCTTTGAATTGCATGTACAGATTCCTGATTAGAGGATAGAATGGTTTATTTGGAGTATGATGGTTAGATTTTCCATTGTCCGAATGTTTTTTTCTTTGTGCTTTGTGGGACTCTTAGTGATGTGAGTTAGCTACTAAGTGAATATGCTAAGTCACATGGGACACATGCCAGATAGTCTCAGAGTGATGGACTTGACCCTATTGCGCAACTCTAGTTTGAGTCCAACTGTTCTAGGGATGGGTCTTTTTACTCGAAGGATTATCTGATCTGTGTTGCATATGGCTATATTCATGAGGTAGCTAGTTGACATTACTGGGAATCTTTTAGCAGCTGAGAACTGGGTGGGTTCGGGAACCTAGGAAAGCCTAGGATATGTTTCAGTGGGTTAGTAGTGAGGTTTAGTGAGACTTGGATGTGCATTAGTTTGAGGAAGTAACTTGGAGGATTCGGGAGGATTGCTGAGGAAAGTATGGATAGGTGTGGAAGGTAGTATTGGGCCCGTACTACTGAAAGAACATGATCCATACTCGAATCGGTGAGCGTCTTGGAGAATCTGAGAAGCTTCTGGGAGGAGTTGTGACCCGGTTTCGGGACAGAGGATGTTCCAGTTATTGCAGCTTAGCCATTGGCAAGTGAGCTAGTGAGCGTGACATGGTGTCCGACCCTGAAGGATATGATTTCCAAGAGTTTGTAGATGCGAGATCGATTTGGAGAACCCTTGGAAGAGAGGGTCGTGCTAGGTGTGTATAGTAGAGGGTCCCGGGAAGAGACCCATGACTTCTGATCATCGGATGAAAGGACAGCAGGGCCGGAGTCGGTGAAGCACGTGCGGGAAAGTACACAAGGGAGTTTGACATTGCAAGGGTTTAGGCTGCTACAAGTGTAACGCGGTTGGTTATGTCAGCAAAAGGAGTCAGGCCCTGGAGTGTCAGACAGGGAGAAGTCAGAACTCCAGCAGGCAATGTTGCGGGTATGTAACCTTGCCTTCTTTCAATTTTATCTGCACATTGTTGTGGTAATTGTGATGTGGTTGGGATACTGTAGCGGGAGGAGTAAGTGTATCCCTGGTTTATTTCTTTGCTCCTGTTGGGTTAGATCATCAAATATCGTCATATGCCAATTGCATACCGTGGAATTACCGGTGGTCAGTGTAAGATCGTTTCCCTTTTGCTGGTTCGGGGTGTTTAGTGTTCTCTCGGTTCATAGTATAAAATTGTCGCGGGACAGTTAGGGGCTCATCGGAAGTCCAAAGCCTGTGAATCCTTAGAGTCCTTCAGGAAGGAGGATCCTATTGTTAGTTCCCGTCATCGGGATCGAAAGGGAGTTTCGCACCTTGATCTTAGGTTGATTGAAGTATCTCAGGAGGAGGTGATCAGGATTCCTCCAGATGTTGCAGGTATGTCATCTTCTACTACTACTAGGTGGATGTTGGGAATACGTATCGCTTTGGAATTGTGAATGAGTTTGGATAAGTCAGATCTCGGGTCGGTTTTCTGCTAGTGTCTGGGTTATCAAGGATCATATATGCCATCCTACATGCCGAAAAGTCCTTGATGAACCTACAGAGGGACGCATCTTTGCGGAGTGGGTTCTGCGTGTACCGTTATCATTCCAGATCTTGTCGGGATCTGTGCAGGAGTATTAATTAAAGGATAGTCGGTCAGGGTTAGAGAGATAGTTCTTCAGTGAAGTCAACATCCAGTGGTTCTATCATTTGTTCGGGTATGGTTGACAATTCCCTATGGCAGAACTTTGGAGTTCAAGGCACTACCGTTGCTAGGAAAGGACTGGTAGCATGAAGATAGTGGAATCAGTTGCGGGTGTTAGAAGCATAAGTGGTTGGTCATTGGATGTTCAAGAGAATTGTATTTTCGCATGGGCTGTGTTCGGTTAGAGTTTAGTGGTGCTGCAAGATTGGAAGTGGGAACGAGAAATCATCAGCCAATGTGAAGATTAAGGTCTCCAGTTGTCAGCATGGGAGTGTTGGATTAATGTCTAAGTCCATAACTATATTTGGTATGTACTTGACCCGACCCGTCATGGTCCATTTGTGTTGCACTTCACCGACACAATTTATATGGATAGTCTTTTGAGAATAGTATATTTATGATTTATATTAATATATTATAAGTTCTAATATATTAATATGGAATCATATTATTTAATTAGTATTGATCAAGAATTCATTTAGAATTAATTAAGTGATCAAAAAGAACTAATTAAATATGGACTCTTATATATATGGAATGGGCCAAGTTCATTTAGGTTGGGCTAAGCTTTCATGGATGGTCCATGGAGCTTTTA